AGAGTCCTCATCACTGGGCCACCAGGGAATTCCTGGAGAGGCTGACTTTAGATGGATGAGCAGGAAGTTGTTTTTGAGGGAGTGACATTTATCCTAAATGACCCAAACCAGATCTGAAAAAAGCATTCTAAAAAGAGAAACAGCAAGTAGAAAGATCCTGAAGTGGAACCAAGCTTGACTGGGCAGGACACATGAGGTAGAGAAAGAGATGAAATAGCACAGAAGGCAAGGTTTAGATCACATAGAACTTTAATTCAGAGTTGGACTTTATTCTAAGGACATTAACTGGACTTAGTTATAAGGGCATTTGGAAGCTGTTAAATAATGTTAAACAGGGGGATGCACTGATTTATATTAATTTTGAAAGCTCTTTCTAGACACTGGTTAAATTATGGATTGGCAATTGTGCAAGAGGGGAGGGCAAATAGGAATCATTGTAACAATCCAGGTAAGAAATGACACCTAGTCTAGACAAGGTGTTAATAGTGGAGATAGAGGCAGATTCGGGATCTGTTTTAGAGAGAGAGACAACAGAACTTGGCAGGGGGAGTAGGTTTAAGGCAGGAGCAAATGAGAGGACTCTACAGGGGTATGCTGCTTCCCTCCACGGAGATGGGACACTGAAGGAGCAGGATTTCCCATGCTTTATTTGAAATGCCCGTGAAACACCTAGATGGAGATGGCAGGCATATAGGTGGATAAATAAGAATTCATGGAGCATGTGTTAAGCATTCTTTTGGGAATTTTCATCCTGCCTGTGGAAACCTAGAAATGTTCAAGAATGGACCTGAAAGGGCAGTTCCCTTTGCCTGGGGAGCAGAGGAGGTGTCCTACGAGGTCCAGATCACCACCACCTAAAGGGTTTAAGCACTCCCGGAGCAATGGGATGCTTCATTTCACATAGCAGAGGTGCTGTAAAGAATTGTGCCTGTCAAGCAAATTGCAAATTGCTATTTGACCTTCATGTACATTTCATTTTGCCAAGCACCTTCTCCTTCATTTTGAATGATCTTCAGTTGACACTTAGCAGGAAGTTTCTAGTTTCTGCTGCCCCTTCTCCATTCTCATCACTCTGATGCCCTGGCTTTACTAACCAGCCTTTACTCCATGGACTGTTTCAAGTTGAAAAGCTTAAATTCACCCTCTAATGATTCTGGGGTGCAGGGAGAGGTCTCTAAGAGAGGAAATAGCTCAGGAAATAACTGGCCTCTTCCCTACTTCTGAAAAGTTGAAGAAGAAAACAAAAGAGTGAGACCGGCCCCTAGAAGTGATTTTAGGTCTGGTAGCCAGGTGTGCTGAGCTAGTGCTGAATTCCAGAATGAAGGGCTGTCTCCATCCAGTTCCAAGCAGCTCTAGGCTGGGAGCATGCAGGCCCTGGGGAGAGCAGCAGAAATTAGTTTTTTCCTGTAGATTGCATCTCCCAAGAGGAAGAAGGTGGCAGAAATGAGCCTGGTATACTCAGTTACTCTGCCTAAATTTACTTTCCATCATCAGAGGTGAAATGCTTAAGCCTTGGAGAGAAGCCAGGAAACAGTCCTCCTCATGGAAACTTGGAGTGGAGAAAGGACATTCTCCCCTAATGATAATAGAAATGTTCATCATTAATTGGCTGGTTTTATATATTTGGCTTTTCAGTAACTAAGACACAGTTAAGTTCAACAAGCAGATACAAGCACAACTCTGACACAAACTATGCAATTTGGGGAAAGTTAGTTGAGCTGTTTCAGGCTTCTCATTTGCAAAAATAAGGGTAAGAGTACCTACCTTGTGAGATCATTCATGTAACACACAAAATGCAGTGCATGGATCAGAAGAAGCATTTGATAAAGATTTGCCGCTACTATTACTACTGTGAGAGTGACTATCACTATTACCAAGTTAGAAAATCTGTTAGGTTCCAGGGATATAAAAGATAGCTTTTATATATAAAAGATATAAATGATAAAAGATAACTCTCCAGGTTCTTCTGTCCATGGGGATTCTCCAGGCAAGAACACTGGAGTGGGATCCATGTGTTGGATGGCATGTTGCCATGCCTTCCTCCAGGGGATCTTCCCAACCTAGGTCTCCTGCATTGCAGGCAGATTCTTTACAGTCTGAGCCACCGGGGAAGCCCATTTAAAGCTAAGGAGACAGGCATTAAAAAAAAAACACAAACTTTAAAATACAGTGGAATGCACGTGTAGTAGAGTTTCTTGCCAGACGGGTGCCTACTAGTGATTACATTTTAGTGAGATTACATCTATGCAGGCCAGGACAAAAAAAATCTTGGAATTGTTGAGCATCCAACATCTTTATTGGGTGGGGGTCATGTAAGTAGCTCTGTCTGCAAAAGAGATTATCAGGAAATTGCCTGTGTTTTTAGGTGTGTGTGTTTTTTTTCCCTCCTAAAAATTAGGGAAGTTACCAGTGATGAGTAGAACAATGATGGCTCTAAATCTTCAAGGCAGTGAAAGCTAGAGCCAGTCTTGATTTGGTACACAAGGGCATGGAAAGAGCTGATCACTTTGGAATCTGACACCTGGAGCTTGAATTGGCGGAGTCTGAGGGCCCCTGACTCAGGGTGACATTGGAACAGGCCAGTAGGGCCCCTCTCCGGCCGAATTCTGACACTGCACTGACCTCCTGTGCAAGTGCCCCCTGAGGGCAAGGCTTCCGGTCTGTTCACTTCTGCCAAACAGCTTTGCTGCCTTGGCCCCGAGCCACCCCTCACCCACAGACATCCTGCAGCGGAACCCCTAGGTCCTCATTGCCACACTTGCTGAGGCGACTGGGGATTCAGCCATGAGCACTTCCTGTTAGCTCTGGAGTGTGGGAGCCCACCCCCAGAAAATAGGCCAAGCATCTTCCAGGAATCTGGGACACATGGCCAGTTTTGTTGCATTCATCCTCTGCCTCAGCCATTAGACTGAGCCACCAGACTTCCCTTCAGGTATCTCTCAAGCACTGCTAGGCTGTTGGTATGAAGGAGAGCGAGTTGGGGGGAGGATAGTTCACACCTCTGGGTTCTCTATTACTAGTTTGTGAGACTCAAACATTTGCACCCTAGGGATACACTGGGAGGTAAAATAGTTGTATGCCAAATCGTAAGGCACTCTGGTTACTAACACAGTAATAGAGCAGGCATAAGCTACAGTAGCAATTAGCAAGGAGTGATGAATTTTTTAAGAGGAGGTGTTTAGGGAAGACTTCTGAGAGGTTGGCAGGAAGAGGATTTGAAAGTATGAGTAGGAGTTTACAGTGACAGAATGGAGGAAGTTAATTACAGACAGGAAGAATGGCATGGACCGAAGCTTTACTAACCCATGACATAACATGGTATCTTCAATGAACTAAAAGTAGGTCTGTCCACTCTGCCAGATTGTTTTGGTGGATTCGTTTCTTGTTCCAGTATTTACTGATAACCTTCCTTAGTTTTTTCACAATGCACAGGTTTAATATATGAAATATATATAAAGAATAATGGTGCCTGGCACATGGTTAGCACAACCTTAGTCACACTTAATAGCTCAACATTTTTTAATAAGATGGGAAAATATTCTCAGCCAATCATTCCTTTCTGTTTTCTAGTCTTACCTACCCCAGCCTCATCCTTCAAAAATCCTAAACACTCTTATTTCAAAAGCCAAACAAACATTTTAAGAGGCCAGTCTAAGATCGATGTGGCCCAAAACATGTAAAACAAAAGGCGTTGCAGGAAAAGGGTAATGTTAGATGTTTTTGATCTGGAGGTGATTATAGGCAAACAATATCTAAAACAAAGCTTGAAATTTTTCTTCTGTTATTTCCTAAGTCTCATTTCAAAGATTTGTTCACATAATCGCATCTTGACGCTCAAGAACACTGTCCTCAGTAGATTGCCAGGTCGGAGACTGCATCGAGAATCGGTGAAGTGTGGAACACGTCTAAGGGGTGGCGATTCCCTCAAGTGCCACGTAACCAGGACGCCCTAACTAACTTGACATCTAGGAAAAGCTAAGAGAAGAGACGGGGTTTACTAACCCATGACATAACATGGTATCTTCAATGAACTAAAAGTAGGTCTGTCCACTCTGCCAGATTGTTTTGGTGGATTCGTTTCTTGTTCCAATATTTACTGATAACCTTCCTTAGTTTTTTCACAATGCACATGTTTAATATATGAAATATATATATAAAGAATAATGGTGCCTGGCACATGGTTAGCACAACCTTAGTGACACTTAATAGCTCAACATTTTTTAATAAGATGGAAAAATATTCTCAGCCAATCATTCCTGTTTTCTAGTCTTACCTGCCCCAGCCTCATCCTTCAAAAATCCTAAACATTCTTATTTCAAAAGCCAAACAAACATTTTAAGAGGCCAGTCTAAGATCAATGTGGCCCAAAACATGTAAAACAAAAGGCGTTGCAGGAAAAGGGTAATGTTAGATGTTTTTGATCTGGAGGTGATTATAGGCAAACGATATCTAAAACAAAGCTTGAAATTTTTCTTCTGTTATTTCCTAAGTCTCATTTCAAAGGTTTGTTCACATAATCGCATCTTGACGCTCAAGAATACTGTCCTCAGTAGATTGCCAGGTCGGAGACTGCATCGAGAATCGGTGAAGTGTGGAACCCGTCTAAGGGGTGGCGATTCCCTCAAGTGCCACGTAATCAGGACGCCCTAACTAACTTGACATTTGGAAAAGCTAAGAGAAGAGACGGGGAGGTGGGGGGCGGTCTGGATATTAGGGCAGAAGACTCAGGAGGAAACAAGAAATAAAGAGCCGCGCGGTTCTGGGGCGGGGGGACACCGCGAGGTGAAGAGGGGCCAAAGTGGGGCGCAAGAAGGATGCGAGACAAGGAGAGCCACGCGGCTCCCAGCACCTAGGGAGCGCCGGGTCCAATGGCAGGACGGCGCGAGCCGCACCTCAACCTGCCCGAGGACGTCACGACGCCGAGGCGGACGCCGGGCCAATGGGAGGCCGTCACAGGCAGGGGCGGGGCCCGGAGGAACTGGGCCGGGCCGCGCTGAGACAGTTGGCAGACTCGTGCGGCCAGGGCGGGGGGAGGACCAGTCGCCGGCGGCAGACGCCGGCCCTCCCTGTCTCACGTCCTCCGCTGGTCACTTCCCGCATGCCGCAGGCTCCTCCCTGAGCCGCGGCGGCGAGGCGTGGGGGGCGCGTCCGGGAACGGCTCGGGGTCGAAGCTTCCAGTCGCCCGCACTTCCTCCTGAGACGCCGGTGCGCGGCTGTCTCGGCGGGCGGGATGGCGGCGGCGGCCCGGGGTAGCGGCCGCGCATCTGCGCCCGGGCTGCTTCTGCTCCTGCTGGTTCCTCTGCTGTGGGCCCCGGCCGGGGTCCGGGCCGTACCCGACGAAGCCCTCAGCCACCGGAACAAGGAACCGCCGGCGCCTGCCCAGCAGCTGCAGCCGCAGCCCGCGGCCGTGCAGGGCCCCGAGCCGGCCCGGGTCGAGGTGAGCGGGACGGGCCCGGGAGGGCGAGGCTGCGGAGCCGGCGGCGCCGGGTACCAGGTTCGCCGCTGCCGGAGCGCCGCCCTCGACTCAGGCTGCCGGCGCGGGGAGGGGAGCTCGGCCCCGGCTTCCCGGGGTGGAAGACCGGGGAGTGTGCCCTTCCCGGGTGGGCCCTGGCCTCGCCCGGCCCCTTATGGGGGAGGGGAGAGCAGAGCTGGGAGGCCACTATAAACCTTTAGTTCCTCAGATGCTGCTGAGGAAGGAGGCGTCCTGTTGATCAGATGGATCCTGGAGAGCTAGAAATACTCATCCCAAGTAGAAAGTTTTTAACGGAGGGCAGCTGGGAGGCTTTTCGTATTCTCTGAGAATAACAACATCGGTCATTTCATTGTTGAAACAGCTTATCCCGAACTGTTTACCAAATTTAGCACTGCACAACTTGTGAGTTTTGCCAAATATATGTGGATAAGGAATGGTGACTGTTAAAAACGTGCTCTGGCTTGCAGGAAGTAACCCTGAGGAATGCAGAGGAATAGTCTGTATGCAAGCAGTGTGGGATGCCAAAGACTATAAGTGTACCAGAATCTTGCATTTTGGCCTTCACTAAGTAGATATTAACATCTTAATTTATGTTAATAGAATCACTTAGAGACTAGTGTTCAAAATCTCAGCAGCGTTTTTATTTTTAATCCCACTCTGGGTCCTGGGCTTTCTCCTCGTTTCCAGTTTGGGTTCCTGAACTCAGATCCTCGTAGTCTTTTCTAGTAGAGGACTTGGGCGCTCAGCCGTCACATTTCCACCCCAGGCTACCTCCAGCCTGTCCTCACCTAACTCATCTTCCTCCCATTGAATTGCATTGTCCTTCTCAGAAATCTTCAGTGAGTTGCCTGTCTTACTGATTTCAGTCCAGCCTCTTCAGCAGGATATTCAGGTTTCTTGGTAATCTGACTGCAGTCCACCCCTCCAGGCTTTTTAGCCGCACACCCAGTCATACCACTGTACTCACATCCAAGACCTGCCATGCGCTCTGTTGCTTTCCAACAAAGACCTTCAAGTAAAAGGGGTTTAATGAGCTTGAAGCCCACTGATCAGAACCTTTCCCACTTTTCAAGAAGCAGCAGATTATCTCCTCTCTGAAGACCTCCCTGAAATTTCCTGACTAAAAGTGATTTCTCTCTCCTGCCTGTGACTCCTGGGTCCAGCTGACCCAGCTTGCCATGTCCACTTCTGAAATTGAACTGAAATGCTGATTCATGAAATTCATTCTTAATGTTCATCTTTTAGCCTTCTGTCATCTCACTCTTTATCAGAAGTTTATTTTAAAGCAATAAATATTTGGGGTTATGTTATCCAGGTCTTACATTAAAGTGTTGGTCATATAGTGATTTTTGAGATACAAATAGTGGTAGGTATGCTGGTTGATACCCTTTTAGACAGCTGGGAGAAGTATAGCTGTGTTAAAAAAAAAAAAAAAAGGCAATAGTGTTCAGTGACCATATTTAAGTGTCCTAAGAATCCTGTCTTTAAAACCGGGGGTGTGGAGGGAAGGGACAGGCACAATATAATTTTTGTTTTTACTGTTTTGATATATTCTTGGTGGTTCTGATTTTTTTGTTTGTTTGTTTGTTTTTCCATTTATTTTTATTAGTTGGAGGCTAATTACTTTACATTGGTGGTTCTTCTTAGACACTAGGAAATTATTCTGTATTTTAGTAGAATCTAATTTTGTTTTTAATTGTATTTTCATGTAGCTTTTTGTTTTAGCTCTTTTTTTTTCCTCTTGTATTACAGTACGTTGGAAAAGTTTTTTTTTTTCACATATTTTCTAAACTATGTAATATAAGTATCATTTGCTTTTTTTTGTCCACTTGGTGGAAGTCAGTTCAGTTTAATAGCCATGTAGGCAAGGATTCAGCATCACCAAATATCAAAAAGTTTCAAGTGTTTTGCTTTGCAACTACATGCAGCAGATCTTTTTAAAGTGTAGGATACATAAATATATGTTTTCATGCCATTATGTTAGTGCCACTATGTTAGTTTCCTCTTTTGAAAATGGAGAGGAAAAAAAATCTCCTTTATTAGGAAGCTTTCAAATGTAAGATGTATTGTAAAAATGTAGTTGTACTTTATAGGGTGCTTTGAAGCAAGAACTTTTAATAGGATTTTCTACATTGAATTTTTTTTTCTCTCTCTATAATCAGGTAAAGAAAAGTTGAGGGAGTTTACTTATAGTTAAAAATAAACCCCATTTCACAAACCCATGAAAAAAGCACTGTTGATTGCTGGGATTGTTTCATTTATGCAGTTTACCTCTAGTGACATACTCAGTTTTTTTTCTTATTCCTTTCTTGGGTCAGGGACTTCAGATAGATTTAATAGAGGTAATTTGTAATTTGCTATGTATCCTGGAAGGCTAAAGAAGGACTGCTCTGGTTTCAAAGCACTGTTGATAAATCCACAGAAGCCTACCTCTCAACCCAGAACAAATTCTCTATACTGTATTCTACTTTACTGTTTCTTGGCATTTCTTTTATGTAGTATCTTTTAACACAAAGCTTTTCACACAGTATTTTTAACTTTTTTCTGTTTTCATTAAGTTTCAGTCCTCTTCCATCTAGTCCAAACTCCCAGTTCTCTTTACAGCTAAGACTGAAGCCATCAGGCATGAAGACCCTTGTCTTACTCATTGTTGCTTCAGAATGAAGTGATTTGATGTTACTGCATTTATTTTTTGGTGTTTTACTATCAGAGCAGTTAATTTAAAAAAAATCAATGAAACCGGATACATTTCAAATGTCAAAATTTATAAACACATTGCAAAACCGTAACATTTATAAAAGCAAACATAAACATTCATTAAAATAAAAATGTAATTATTAAATATGTTATTCTAATATGAATTAACAGTAAATTCATAAAAAATTTTTAAAAACTAAGCCATCCACAAATAAAAAGATGATCATGAATATTTATTATAAAATGTAATTTATTTCTTTATTTTAATGCCATCTTTTAAAACCAAGTTTATCAATGGTGTCACAGTTTAAGTTACAAGTGTATTTTTACACACATTTTTCCAGCTTTGGAAAGGTTTTTCTGACTTGATACAATAAAGCAGTGGCAAGGAGACAGATGTAAGCCAGTTTTAAGCGCTTTCCTATAACTCCTTTATCTTCAAATAATCTCACTTCTTGTGTGGTAACTTGTTGAGGAACTTTGTTTTTGTTTTTGCAGGGACATCAATCTTTTTCTTGGTAGCAGGCTGTAGATTTTGTTTAAAAGAAAGCATCTTCATCTTCTTTAGTTTCATTATGTGTAGATGGAGATTCTGATGCAGCTGTCTGTATCAGTTTTAATACATATGTGTTCATTTGAACTCGAACTAGAATAGAAATTATTTTTTCATTGTTAATTGCTATTTTCTTCCTTTTCTTGAAGATAAAGAGAAGAATCTTTAGATATTTAGAATATTTTTATTCTAAAAAATGAAAGGTTATTCTCTAAATGAGGGTGCTTTTTCACAATTTTTCAATTTCAAACTAATTTTAACTTTAAGTAAAGAAGAGTTATATTAAGTTTTTTGTCTTTGGTTTTTAATTATAAGTTATTGACCCTACTCTCAGGATGTAAATAATTTGGATTTTAGATCCAGATCTGCAGGAATGGTATTTGTACGGAGGAGAAGAGTGTATTTCATTACCTTAACGCTGTGTAACTGACCAGTGGAATGCCAAAATTGGAATTATAGTCGCTGCCTCTGACCTTTCTGTGCTAATTTAAATATTTGCTTCTGTGCTAGGACTTTCTGCCTTTCTTCTGTAATGGACAAAACTGTCACCGTTTCCATACTGCCTCTCTGTTCATGTGCCCGTACTCCTGACCTCTAGTACTTTACTTCTTCAGTATCTTTATTCTCTCCTTTTCTTTGTTTGGTTCCTTTTTATCTGCTTACGCATTCCCACCGGTTTCTCCAGTTTGGAGGGGGTGAGGGGAAAGGCAATTGTTTTAACTGCCTGATTGCATTAGTTTCTGTTCTTCAGCTTTATAAATGAAATTTCTAACTAGAGAATTACCCGCTTTTTCACCTTGCTTTAGTCTTCTCTTATCTGGCATCATCCCATGTCTTTATATTGAAATTTCATTTTTGAAGGATACCTGTAACCTAATTAATTGCTAAATCCAGGGCTCTTTTTCAATTCTTCTGTAACACTGTTAACTCTACATTTTTAAGAGCCCTGCTCTACCTCAGTTTGTGTGAACTTGAGGAAGTTATTTAACCCTATTGGTTCTCAGTTTCTTCTTTTATGTTAAATTGGGATAACAGCTTTAAGGTTTTTGAGTATCAAATAAAACAGTATATGAAAATTCCTGGCATTTAGTTAGTAGCTCAGTGAAATGGTGATTGCCCTTAACTTGACCATCTGCGGTGGTGTTCTGCCTGCCTCTCTAAATATCCAAGACAATTTTCTCTTTGTTTCCCTCCTCCACTCCCTTCCCTAAATATAGACATTGTCTGAACTTCATTTTTTTTCAAAGTAATTTCTACCTTTTCCCTTCAAAATCTAGTCTTACAAAGCTCTAGCTGATAAATTCCAGGTTACCAGCAACCAGATACATACCTTGAGACTCTGCTGGCCTAAACTCAGGTGTTTCATTTCTGAAATCTCTTGGATTTCCAAACCTCTTGGAAATCTTTATTTGAAATGCTTTTTATCCTCAAGTCGAACATGTGTGAAACCAAGCCCCTTATTTTTGTTCCTCTTTCCCATATACCTTAGAGGAATATGAATAGCATCTTTGCCTTTTAAAAATTCTATTAATATTTTTCTTTCTCATCATGTACAGGATTTTTTCTTTTATTTTGTCTTCAACATGAGTCCTGTGCAGGAGACCTCCTAATTAATTGGTTCAGTGGCTGGTATTCTTTACTTTCTGTCCTGATCTATTAGTCACAGTGCCTTAATTACGTTTGTGTCTTCCACTCAAAAACTTTAAAGGGCTTC